AATTATGGAAAGATTCCAGCTGGCGAGCTTGGAGCACTGACATAGGAGACACAATGCAGAGGGCACAAGGACCAGCCAGTCCTATTGCTTTGCAAACAGCAAGGGCTCATGTGACTCTGGTGGCTCTGGGGAAATAATTTCTCTCAAGTCTCATCAAGTCTTTGCCATTTCAGAGTCTCTCCTTGGTAGAAATCTGAGGTTGGGATATGCATGTGTCATTGTTTGCGCCATGGGAGAGTTGTTGATCTAGAACAGTCATTAAACTTCTCAAACCATTTTTATAGCAGTTAGAAAAAAAAAAATAGTAAAGGAGGGTTCAAAGAAAAGAATTTTAAATGCAAGTGATATAATTTAGGCATGATGAAAGCAGAGAAAGAATGCTATAAAGCTCAGAGTAGAAAAATGTATAATTTGGATTTCTAGAAGTGAACAATTGGGATAATTGACTGTTGGAGTTTGAGAGAAGGAGTGCTAATCTATCTGGTGTGTGTATTAGGCTCTTAGAAAGTTCAAGGGAACAATTCTGACCTGCAGAATATTACCACCACCTTCCATTACTTTTCCCTAGAAATGTTTCCCTCTCCTCACATGAATGGGTATGGTGTGAGGGTTCTCTTGGGGGAAATTTCACAAATGAGAATATTTGAAAAGCAGGAAAATTTGAGTCCCTGTCACATCTTTGCACCAGCTGAGGGACACTGCTAGTCTGTCCAGCAACATTTCCAGTGTTTCTGAACTTCAGTTTCAGTGAAGTTCAGTATTCAGAAAACACTTTCAGTGCTTTCAATTAGAAATGCCAGTTTTTCTGGCATATCACACTCCTTCAAAACACAAATAGCACAACAGTCAAGAGAAGAAGATTTCATTATCTAGTTTATCAAATTATACCTACTGCCAGCATCAAAGCTATGATTAAGTGGGTTTGATCAGGGGCTTTGATGGGGTTTGTCACATGTCTCAGAACAAGGCTAAGGTTTCTGGTGGTCTTCCCTTCTCCTTCCCCTTCCTATCTGCCTCAGACCTCCATCACCCCAACCCACTTCAGTGCTTTTGTCCTGGCAGTGGTTAGAATTCTATGGTTTCTAGTCCCACTAAATTAAGTTTTAAATACATAACAAAATTGTTTACAGGTCACTTAGCAGTCAATTCCTTTCTTGTAAGATTATCTGGAGAAAATTTTTCAAGGGCCTCCAGGATCTAAATAACCCCTCTCTGAATCCTTAAAGAGATGAGTAATTTCTGTATGATGTGCTGCAATAATATTTAGAAACCTCCATCTATAGAAGCACCCAGATGGGAAAGTTAGGTAGACTAGAGTGTATCTGGGGACACTTGGAAGATGGTGTATGGGGAGAGAGGGAAAGCAGGACATGCTATAGTGACTGCTCTGAGCCAGCAGCCTGTGCATGAGAGCATCCATAAGTGCAAAGAGCCTTTTCCCCCTTCCTTTTGTAAAAATGCCATTGTTCAATAGTCTGTGGAGGAATTTCTGAGAATGATGGTGGGATGGCATGGAAAGAATAGTAAGAGAGGGATGCATAAACAGGCTTTTCTTGTCCTCTGAATGCCTGAGGAACACAACTCTCCTCTTCATACTTGCAATGGCTCTCACAGCTCTGAGAGCTCTTTCGCTTTCCAGATAAACTGAAGAACTATTCAACCGAAAGACAATAAGCAGTAAATGGAATAGACACTTAAGAAGGAAATCAGGATTCTTTATAGCATAGGAATGCTGCACATGTCTCAATAAATCTCCTGACAGGGAAGTTTACTGATCAAACATTCATTACCACAAAATTAGACTTTCTTTTTTGAATTCACCAAAGCTCAACCCTTTGAAACTGTGGAATAAATGCAGGTCAGTAGAGTTTTAATTCCAGATCTCACCAGGGAGTGGGAGCTCCCAGCAGTTTCCACACAGTGTGTCTGTCTCCTTTGGGCTGCCTGCGGCTGCTGAGATTTTTGCACAGCTGAGGTTGTACTAGAAAGAGATGTGGGAAAACCCATGGCTCCAATCTTCTCTGTCACACCCTCCTGTGCTTTGTGCCAAAGGACAGAGGTCCTTGTGTGAGCACAGGGATGCATCTGCTGTGAACAGGGGTACACCTGCTGTGTCTTCTGTACCAACACTCTCTGAACAGTGGCAGCTGTGACAAATCCCAGCCTCAGTGCCACTGTCTGCCACCTGGGGTTTAGAGAGACATAGGTTTCAGAAGGAATTCCAGGAAGTGGGGGAAGTTTGGGAAAGGTACCAGGATTATGATTTTCTCATGGAGTAGACTGATGAAGGATATGTTTGGAGCAGCAGCTGCTTCTAGTTAGTGCAAGAAGCTGGAGCAGGCAGCCTGGTCCCTGTCTGTCCCTGAAGCACAGAATACACCAGTGGGTGCTGCAGCCTGAAGGAAAAGATCTGTGAGATGCTGTCATTCCCTTTTGCTTTGAGAGGCAGGATCCCTGCATTGCTGTCAGCATTGCCAAGTCTGCCAAGCTGTTCTCTGAGGAAATTCCTGCTGCAGCCTTAGGTCTTCTCTGAGAGGGGGGAGAAGCCACCTCTGGCTACTGAATTAGTCAGGGATGGATGTGTTTAGGGGCAGATCAGTCACTAATGTGCTGTAGTTCTCTGCCAGGTATCTGCAAAGGAGGGCTCCCTGCTTAAAACTGAGTGATTTTTTGGCCCTGTAATATCATACTCTGATTTGAGGCAGCCCCAAACACTGTCAGCATGACGTTGACTTTGACCTTTCCAACAAGAGAAATTATTTCTTATGCCACTTTGCAAATCCAGCTCCTAAAGCAATTACACATGAGGAGTGGTCTGCTCAGGGGTGTGTTTGAAAAGAAAATGAGATTAAACTTTCTATCTGAGAAGAGCGCCAGTGTATCAATATCCAAATCAAATAACATAAAGTTTCTTTTTTCTGCCAGCTAGGAGTAAGAATGTGCTATACCTCTAATATGATTTTTGCGGTGTCTGTAATATCATGAGGTTTAAATTAAAATAAATATGACTGCATGCTTTTGAAGAGCAATTCAGGCTGAAACATTCTAGCCTTACTGGTGTAGCACATGAAAATAAATATGTATTTATCTAGGCTGCCTAGATTCATGCATAACTAGTGTGCAGATTGGGTGGTGGGAAGACATAGCAGGACAAAATACTTGGGCTGCTCCTGGGTGTGCTTGATAAAAGTCAGTAATAGGAAAATTATTTGAATGTTGCCTGGATGACAGCATTATGATTCTGCTAATTAATTAGATCAAGTTTTATTGGTCTTATTGTCATTTAGTCAACTCTGCCCCATGTGATTTTTTCTTTTTTTGAGATATTTCAGTGTCCATGCTATTTCAGTTCCAGCAGACTGGCACCACTAAACTAATTTTTTAATGACAAAACTCCATTCACTTGTCTACTGTTCTTCAGTAATTTTTTTTGTTTTGTTTTGTTTTGTTTTCTGTTATTTTATTTTTATATAACCAAACTTGACCTCAGAAAATATTTAATCCTCTGTCAGTCTTGACTCACTGACCTATGATTGCAAATTATGTACAAATCTCAGCAGAATAGACCTGTCCTGATTTGAAACTCTTGACAAAACAGTAGCCCCTGGACTTTTATCTTACCACAGCTTCTGGTGCCAAAACAATTCTGCAAAGGAGTAAATTCCAATAAGTACCTTCGGAAAAATTGTACTTTCTAAAAAGGATTGTCTTCTGACTTTTTGATGATGATTACACATCTGTTTCTCTCTGAAGGACTAATCCTGGCACACCTTTTTTAAGCACCCCTTCTCAGGGGAGTTCCAAAATACCATTTGATAAAGGACTATCTTTTAAAAGCTCTGATTCCTACAGGACTGAGTGCTGGAAGGGGACAAAACCAGCTCTGAGTAAATTTTGTGACCTGTTGTTGCTCTGGGTCTATGGAAATAGAATTAGCAGGGGATTCTGATTACCAGATTACCAGCCAAGACAAACCTTGAAAGTTCCTAACTCAGGTGCCCAATTGTTCATTTAAAAGTCACTCTGTCATTGCAGGCTCCCCTGGAATGCGTTCACTGCAGTACAGTGAATGTTTCCTCCAATGTGAATTGCTATAGTTCAGCAAGCCACATGTTTTTTTTCCTATTACTGGAAATGGAATTGCTCAAAAAGCAGTTGACTTGAAGCAAAGTCTTTCCTCAGTATAAAGTATGCATTTTTTTTTAAATGTCCTAAATTATATAGGGTTCATTGTAACCAAAACAAAATACATACCCTGGATGCCCCTAAAAGTTAGAAAGGATAAATCCCACCTGAGTTATGTGATGTTTATTTGTGATCATTTGATACATCAGCACACAGGTGATGCTATTGGCTGAATTTGTTGTGGAGTAGCTTATAGTTTTGGTTCTTGAGTTCCTTTGATTTATCCTATTTTTTTTTTTTTTTTTTTTGGACCAAATTGGCATCTCTCACATATGCCAAGGACTTGAAGGAATACACAGGAATCTTGAAAAAAATACTTATGTTTCTGTATTTTAAGATGCCTCTGCACTTCCAGTTTCTACATACAGGATCTGCTATTGATTATTGTCCCCCCTCCCAGGTAGTAACTTCTGGGAGTACCAGAGATGAATAGAAAATTCCCTCTTCTGAAAGATGCCCTTTGCAGATAAAAGATGAAGTTTCACAGGTGAACTCCCACAGTCCTCATGGTGCTGGGTGCACCGAGTTAAGCATTTGATGCTTTTATTAGAAATAAAGTTAATAGGATAAATGCTGTGACAGGATCAAGCATTCTTACTTTGAAATCCAGCCTGCAGTTTTAGCATTTGTTTTCTTTAAATACCATGTCTGTGAACCTGCAACCCACAATAACAGCCTGCTCTACTACCATTAATTATTGAAAATGCAAGTGTTTAATTACAAGTACTACTTAGGTAACCCTGGAGTGAAATCATAGGATACAAATTAATCTCCTTGCTGAAATCACACCAGGAGTATGTCTGTGTTTTGTGCAGGTGATTCCAGCCTTTGCTCGACCTGTGTTCATGAAAACAATGTTTACAGCAGAATATTTCAGATTTTGTACAGAAATGAAGAGATCGTTCTTAATGAGACCATGAACTTCAGAGTGCACCTGCTTCTGGATGGTGAAAGGGTGAGTAGTTTTGGATTGCAATAAAAAACAGCAGGACTGGGACTCCTCTTACTTAACTTTAGGTGTGCATCGCACAGGTATCTCTATTTCAGAAGTTCATGTGTTGTCAGAGGTGTCAAGAATGCAGCTGCTGGAGGGAAAAACACAGTTTTTCCTCCAGCAAAACTGGAGGGAATACACCAGCAGCTGAATTAGGAGGAGATTGGCTGTCCTGGACCCATAAATACCTGTGATTTATTTATTTTTACATGTTGACATTGTAAAACTCTGCATGAGGTCAGAGAGACCCTCTACATTGTGCCTGTTTATGAGGAGCAGGCTACACCTTGGATTTCCAGTGGAATAAGATATTGACATACTCTGGTAAGTTATAATATCAGAAACTCAAGTATCTCAACCATAATTTATCATTTGTGTGCTGGATCACTCACTTAACACAGCTGTGCTGATCAGCCCCACCTGAGAAAACTGTGAGTATGGTGCTATTACTTCCATCCATTATTATTATTCTCTTACCCTCCTCTCTTGTGACTGAAATTTTCTACAGCTCCCAGCCCCTTTCCATCCTTCAGAGGTCTCCTGGCCTTTGTCCTTGGTGCTCCTGACTGCAGGAGCCCATGGGAGAGCTGCTGGAGCTTTCCCTTCCTTGGAGTCCCTGTACAACCCTTTTGTTTTCTGTGGTACTCCAGCACAACATGTCCATCCTGAGACCCTTTTCCCCTCTTTCCAGCCACTCCTTCAGGCAACAGAATCACTCATATAAGGTAAAAACACAATCTGGGACACCCAGCTTGTAGAGCACTTGTGGTTTAACCTTGCTGATGTGAAACCAAAATCTTCCAGCAGCAATTCCTGTTGCCAGGAGCTACAAGAGAGGAGCAGTCTTCGTTCATGGAGAGCTGTGTTTTGCTGAAATCTTAAATAGGAAGGGGAGAGAGTGTCACAGTAGAATGGCATTCAGGCATGTCCCATTTGCCATCACTGTGCTTTTCCAGCTCAGGGACTTGTACAAAATGTATGGCATTGGTAGCTGACCTCGGTGGTGACAAGAGACACAACAGCATCTTTGCCAAGTCAGCTTGTCATCAAAAGGAGGCACTATGAGTTACACAGCCAGTGTGAATCATGTGCTGTGTGTTGAACTCAGGGCCAGAGACACTCACCTGTTCTTTGTATAACTTTCTATTTGATCATGATGAGATTTAAAATCTCTTTTTTTGTACTATTTCAAAGCATATATATATATATATATACATGTTATATAGAGATCTAAATTAAAACAGCTTGAGAGCCCAATTTAAGCTAACATGCTTCCTTTTCTCTCCCA